CAACCCTAACCTCACCAAAAAAACCCAACCTAAGACCCACAAGATGGAACCACCAGAAGAAACCATACACCACCACATAGAAAAAAACCCAACCTCAACCCCATAGACCAATACCCCCATAGACAAACCATGTTCCCCAACCCGAAATCCCTAACCCTTGAAAATGGAAATGATTATCGTTGTCAACTTTACGATAGTCGGAACGAGGTTCAGAAGAAAACCAATTCTTGCTGCCACCGAGAAATTAGCAGCCATCGCAAGTAGTCTCCCACTGTGGCATACAGATCCTCAGCTACTACCCCCCACACTTCCTTCGCCACGAACACTCCCAGCCTTTCCATCCACCATGGCGTGGACTTCTGTGGCAACATCCACGATCCGAGGAGCGCCTGACCCGCTGCATTTGCTTTGTCGAGTGGTTCTGTTGCATAGCATCGGGCCCATGTGGTATCAGACGGGATGAGTAGATCAACCTGACGACCTACAATAAGAACTTTGGCCAGTTTCTTGACCTCGGTCGCAGCACGACAAGATTTGTTGGAGTGGACCTTGCGACGGGCTCAAATGTTATTGTGATTTTGATGCTGCGAAGTGAATGACTTAAATCATGGTTCAAGCATGTTCTAGGTGTTCTACACCAGTTATGTGTTGCACGCATGCCACATCATTGTGTTTTCCACAGAGCAACAGCCTTGAATTCCTAGCGTAATTGTTGATTGCGCGTACTGTCGGGAATGGCATCAGAAAGCTTAGCAAGCAGTCGGCTTACGCGACATGGTGCTGAGCTCGACATCGCGCACCTGCTGCAAAAGTTGGGGTTTGTCCTGCAGGCAAACGTCTGCCTGCACAAATCCGGCAGACTTGCCTCTGCAAGTGAGTATTCGGATTGGTGCCTTCGGCGAACAGCACGGCAGGTTGAAAGTGGCCAAGCTGATCTCAGAGATTTCCAGCATGCGTGGCATGAGCGTTATGGGCAGTGGCCACGGCCAGCGGGGCTAGCGGCCAGCGAGCTCCGCAAGACCGCCAAGCGCTATCTGCCAGTGCAGGAAGCTGATTTCATCCTGAAGGGTTTCCAGCAGCCCAATTCTGAACACCCTGCCCACGCCTATGCACAAGCACAATCTGGGTTTATCACAACGCAGGGCCATCTGGTTTGCGTCGGTGATCTCCTGGTCATGCTCGAAGGTCGTTTCCTGGTTGAAGTCACTCAGAAGTCTTGGTATTCGGGGCCCAAGCATTTCAAGACACGAAAAGTCACAGAGTTGCACAACTTGGCTGCGAAACGAGGGCATGGCGAACAGGTTCTGCTCCTATTCAATGGTGGAGAGCCTGGAGCGCCTCCACTTGAGACTGGTTTCAAAATGCCGAATTTCAAGGTTTTGTATTTCAACCAGCGCACAATTGGGAAAGTTCCGGAGAGTCTAGAAGTAGCCCGCAGGGAGGCCGAAGTTGCTTGAGAAGTAGCCCGCAGGGAGGCCGAAGTTGCTCGAGAAGTAGCCCGCAGGGAGGCCGAAGTTGCTCGAGAAGTAGCACGCAGGGAGGCCGAAGTTGCTCGACTCCAACGTGAACTTAATGAGCTCAAAGCTACCAGAACGCCGTTGCCATTCGCAAGTGTTTGGGCAGTGCTTGTGGTAGTTGCAGGGGTGGCCCTCGCAAGTCTATACGTGGGTGCCGCAAACCAGCTGCATCGTAGCGGCTTGACGTTTCACGTGAGCTCTCCGGCAAAATATGGGTTTCGCATGCTGCGATCAGGGGCGAGCCAAGTGTTTTTTGCGATAATCTCTGTTGAGCATTGTCACTTGCTGAAGAGAGCGATTCCCTAGCTACGCCTCGCAGGACCCCTCGACCGCCGTTCTGCGTCCACCTCCAACTCCGGGACGTCGGCGCTCAGAGAGAACAAACAATTCCTTCCGCCCTAACTTTAAACATTCTTTGTCGCCAGCAGCCTCCCGTCCAGGCCAAGACTAAAGCTGTGAGACAATGGGTGCGGGGCGTTGGTGGTCCTGAGGGGCTTGTGCCTAGCAACCTTGAGCCTCTAGTTTAGGGATTCGGGTTTCGGGAAGTAAGGTTTAGCTCGAGCCTAAGCCCTTGAGGCTTCGTTGCCGGGTTCAGGCTTCAGGGTTAAACGCTTAACTTTAGAGTCTAGGGTTTTTAGATTTAGGGCTTTAGGGTTAAGGGTTTTGGGCTTTGGTTTAGAGGGTTCCAGGGTGGCAAAAACATAATATGTAACCCCCCAAATTTTAGACCGAGCCCGATTTCAGGATTTGCGGAGGGGGGACGCGTTTTAGTATTAGGGGAATTCGTTCAACAAGTTACGGGGTGTAAAACTTTTAGCAACATTTCCCACTTTTATCCACGAATAACCGCATTTTCAAGAACTCTAAACCCTGAAGGTTTGCAACGATGAACGGGTGATTAGCTTTTCAACAACTCGAATCGCAAATACTGCCTATCATTACCTTCAACTCTATAATAAGCTTGACCTAATTTGTTTTCAATATTGTCTATTGTATAAATATTCTGTGACCAGTTGCTCACCCTTTCTTTTTCATTTGGTTTTCGCTTCCTAAACATCTTAGCCTCATCTCTACATCTAAATCGGGATGAATACGGTTCCTCGTTCCCTTCGTAGTCAAATTTAATTTCACTTTGAATCGATTACTGGGTTTTCGGGCTTCTTTTGGTGTAAATCCCGTTGCTGAGTGTTTCATTTGATTATTATAGGTTAGTA